CTCGTATAATTAGTGTACCTTATCTTAAAATAATCAATTTCTCTGGGGTTGAAACATCCCTACTAAAATCATATACCCGTTGAATGTTAGCAAAATATTGTTCTTTTTTGGCGTTTAAAATCTTAAGACGATGTTCCGCTTTTTTGTCCATCGTGCAGAACCGCTAAATATCGCGCTAAATTGACAATATAATGGAATAATGTGTGGCGGTTTTATCAAAGTTTTGATATCTACAACTTGAATTCTATACTATAAAAGCGCTTATCAACCTGCACCGAAACGTGTTATCTATAACTATTATTTATGTACTATAACAAGCGTGCAAATCCGGCTTGATTTGGACCAATGTTTAATATTTTAATAAATTCAAAACACAAAATATATGGAAAAAATATAAATATACTTACAATTCAGTCGGTGCTGGGCGCCCACTTACAATGCACGGGGGGGGGGGGGAAAAAGGAAATCAAGGGTTACAATAAGGAAGGGTTGAATTCGTCCAGCACTACCGAGTTTACAACAAAAAAAAACAAAAAAATGGATTGATTTTCAAACTTGGAAAAGTATATTACTTCAAAACAATCACGATTCGATGCAGCTTTTCGAATGTGGGAAATTTTTCCTTTTTTGCCCCACTCTTCGCATTCAAATTGTATTAACATTAATAAAGCCACACTTCCTCCATCTAGTTTATATCTTAGTAATAACTCCCAAAAAATAATAGTCCAGTCATTTAAGCTCAAATTAGGGAAGAATCTCGGAATTCGAGATACCAAGCTGTAAGTCTGTAAATATTTGTATATTGACACCCTGAAAGTTGTCTCCAAACCTACATATGGTAGGGTGTGCGCAACTATTAAACTTCAGGGTTACAAAAATCGGTTTTTTTCGCTTTTTTTTGTAAATATCTCATTTCCTATGGGTTTTTTGCTATTTGTGTTCATTATCAATATTGTAGAATACAAAATTCTCTACAAGTTTGTTTGAAAAAATTTTTTATACGGTGAACCGTTTTCGAGATAGAGGGCGGAGAGCGCGCGGTCACAGGATTACTTCAGGTTAAACGGTGCCTCCAGTCGAAAACGGGCCAGTTTGAATCGTATCTTGGTGACTAGCGGACGTACAATTTCAAGAACTATGGCTGATTTTTGTTTTCTATGTAATAAGTCAGAGTCGGGAGGTGAATCACTTATTGAAGTAGTGCGCGGTATGAAATCTCTACGAACTGCAAGTGTCGAACGAAACGACGGAAAAATTGATTATTTAAAATCAGTGTTTACATCAGTAAAAACTGTATCCAAGCAGCAAAACGGAAACAAGAAGAAGGAGAAACAGAAACTATAACTTCTCCTTTAGTACTCCGTAAAAAACGAGGTGAAGTGTTTGATTTTAAGAATCAATGTTTATTTTGTGGAGAAGTTGCTGATGAGGCTGCAGAGAAAAAGAAAAGAGAAAAATACAGGCGGAAGATAAAAAATGTGAGTACTCTTGAGTTCAAAGATACTGTTATTAAAAAAGCAGAAGAACGTGGGGATGATTTCGGAGAATTGGTGAAAAGTCGTATAATTTTACAGTATGATTTGGTCGCTGCAGAAGCGAAGTACCATGCTGCTTGCTTCACAAACTTTTCAAATAAATCTTCATCATCATCATACCCCGAGAAAACTCGTCAAGATAATCAAGTTACAGAAGCTATGTTAGAGATTTTCAATTACATCGAAAATAATAATGATTCTCAATTCACACTAAATGAGCTTAAAGATGTCTTGACAGGGTATGTGCCAGATGATAAAACTATCATTACAAGACTACAGCAGAAGTACTTAACTGATATCGTAATTACGAAGAAAGTTGGAGCTTTCACAATCATTTCATTCCGTGATGCACAATTGCACAAGCTAATATTCTATCAAAAGCTTGGTACGAAAGTAAAAATATAGATCCTGAAGCAGAAAGGTTAAGAATTGTAGAAGCTGCAGCAGCAATTATTAGAGAAGATATCCGAACATCTATAATTGAAACTAGATCTTATCCACCTCCTAGTAAAATGCTGGATAATGTTAATCAAGAAATCCCAAAAACTTTATTACATTTCTTAGAAGAAGTCATCGTCAAAAACAGGAAAGGACAAATTGATCATTTAAAAACAAAATGTACTTCAATAAGCCATGCAATTATGGCTGCCATACGGGAACGTTCTTTTTCATCACAGTTACTTTTGAGCCTTTCTGTATTTCTTCACAGAAGTTATGGATCAAAAAGGCTATTTTGGGTTTTGCAGCTTCTTATAGTAATACAGTACAGTATGAAGTTTCAGCAGTTTATCACCCACAGCCTCGTATTTTATCATCAGAGTCAGGTGCACTTGTACAATAGTCAATATGTTGCGGACAATGCCGATATAATTGTCCAGACTCTTGATGGTTACAATACTCTTCATGTTATGGGAATGATTAAGATAGTAACTCCTAAAAATGCTGTTCTCTATGATGAACGGATACAAAAATGTACAACCAAACCAAAAGCGAAAGAGTTGGCAGCCATATCACATGTATCTTTACAAGTTTACGATAAACCACTCGTACCTGGATACAGTAAAGTTCAAGTTGAAAATCTGCATGACCATCGAGCACTAACAGAAAAAACAATCAACGGAACTGAGTTTTTGTGGTTATACGGAAAATGGAGGGATATTGCATCGTTGCCAGGGTGGAACGGTTATATTGAGCAGCTCACTAAAAATGAAACAAATTTTTCAACATCTCAGGTTATGTTTCTTCCTTTTATCGATCATCCTGCCAGTAATGTAGACACAATTTACACTACTTTACTTTGCGCTCTCGATATTGCCAAGTCACACGGACAAAGAACGTGTGTAATTACTTTTTTGTACTCATTGAATGGAAAGATAATGTTTCCAAGCATCCTCGATGCACGGGAAAACGACTTTCCCGCATCGCGGTGTTTTTTTAGTTTCCGCTGGAGAGAAGGGGTTATGCGCGTTCTTCGGTTGGTAGTACTTATTGAAGTCAACGAACGTCATGTCATGGTTAACTGTCATCTGCTGTAAAATCAATTAAACCGTTGGTTGAGGGTATTTAGTGCGATTAATCGGAAACAGACGTACACTAAGTTTTACGTAAATATATAAACAAGAAATCATAACGCAATCAAATTATTTTTCAGAATTGGAACTCAAGAAAAAGTAAAATTTATTGTTAAAACGTCTTAAAATGTGACCAGTGATATTCTGCAACTATTCGCATGCAGTTTAAGAAAGCACATATTAACACACACAAAGCTTCCAAGGATTTTAAATGTAACGAGTGTATTTACGCAACTCAAGATATTCAGTGCAAACGATGCAATGCCGTGACCAGTAGTAGCACTCATTGCAAAGGCAAAATATGTATTAACCAAAGATGTGGAAGTTTTAAATGTGACCAGTGCATTATTAAAAGTGGGTAGTTACAAAATTATGTTACCAACCAAACATATGATTGTGTTACCAACTCATGATTAAAAAAAAGCTAATTTACAAAACTTTATTAATTTTTATCTTTTTTTACGCAATTCGTTACAAAAAATATTGTACCTAACTCTTTCGGAAAGAATTTTCCCGCATTCGCACTAAATGCAGCACTCCCTACGGTCGTGCTGCAAACAAAGTGCTCATGCGGGAAAATTAACTTACCGAACTTGTTAGGTAAATAACTATTGATCAACCCCTCTACTCTAAAGCACGTGAAATAGTAGCTGCGTCAGATTCCAGCTCAAACTTTATGTAAAGTCGTTGTGAAATTAGGAGGATCAGAGGCCATATATTGGTACGACTTGCATTATCAAAGGTTATTTTTGAAGACATGAAGATTGAAGATGGTACATTGGATGAGTTAATACAGCAAATCACTTCTCGAGATGTATCCTACTCAAACCTAGAAGGATATATGGATAACTCAAATATTTTTCTTTCAACATTTCTGGACAAACTGGATGATTTGAAAGCTCGAGGTCCAACAGCACAGTTGTGGGTGCAATATTTCGAGATGGTTACAATAGCACTTGATTTTGTACGCGCTGAAAGACTTGGGCTTTTCCAAGAACACCTTGATGCAGTGCGCAGAATGCTGCCATATTTTCACGCCATATATGGCGCGTTTTCGACCGGAGGCACCGGTTGACCTGAAGTGATCCTGTGACCGCGCGCTCTCCGCCCTCTATCTTGAAAACGGTTCACCGTATAAAAATTTTTTTCAAACAAAACTTGTAGAGAATTTTGTAGTCTTCAATATTGATTATGAACACAAATAGTAAGAAACCCATAAGAAAGGAGATATTTACAAAAAAAAGCGAAAAAAACCGATTTTTGTGACCTTTAACCTTGAAATTTAGTAGTTGCGCACACCCTACCATATGTAGGTTTTGAGACAATTTTTAGGGTGTCAATATACAAGTATTTACAAATTTTCAGCTGGGTATCTCAAATTCCGAGGTGAACTTACTATAATGACTGGACTATAACACTAGCTATAACTTTTAAGTTTTTAATCCATGCGCGATACAAGTTGTGATTCGCTATTCGCGTATACCAACCGGACTTGTACTTGTAGTAGAGTTTCTGAGCAGGGAATGTTTGTATTATGTTGGTAGAGTAGAAAAATAGTGAACAGGTTTGCTTTGCTGCATTGTTTTCATGGTCACGATTTCGATCAGTGCAGTAATCAATTTAATTACAAATCCAACTTTCTTAATCTACCACTTATTTTTATGTTTTTACCAAAGCAGTCATTAGCAAAAAATTGTTTGCTTGAATCTTATAGCCTTATTATGCAAATAAGTTGTCCATGTCAAAATCCCCTTATCGTGAACCATTAGTACACAATTTATTTACTGCTAAGTCTAGAATAACAATAGTTCAACTGGGTTACGTTTCTTTTAAATAATGTGCTTCGTATGATGAGTTACACGCGCCTACAGGTCACTTTAGAGATAACCCAAATGTAATTCTGATTCCGTGTATCAAAAGGACTCATCTTTGTTTCTCTCACATGGAAGCAGAGAGGAAATATTGACAAAAAATGCACCTATTTTATACGACGCTATTTACACCAATCTCGCCTCCTTCTTTGGCGATACTATTTGAGTCAATCAAAAAATGGCCTCATGTTGCCTTTGGAGTAAGCAACCTACTTCAAAAGTCTCTAACCTCTACGCCACTGTTTCGACCATGACATGGTATCGAAGAGGTGGCCACTATCCGATTTGATTATGAACCTCTAATGTGCAGCACGTGAATAGCACAGTGTACTCTCGACGATCTTGGTCAGCTCACTTTGTGCGCGATATCTTTGCACTTTCGCATTTCACAATGAAAAATGTCGATATCACTTGTGAGTGTATAAATAGCCGCGGCGCAAACAGAAAGTGACAGTAGACAATGTTAATAGTGTACTTGTGTTGTGCAGCTTTGGTGCTCGGCGCCATGGTGCAAGGAGACGAATTTGGTAAGTAGCTTTTCACCAATGGAATAGTGCGAGTGCCAATGACCCATTGCAGAATGCGAACGAGAAGCGTTTTACATCGAAAACAACTGCAATCGCTGCCAGTGCGGCGGAAATGGCTATCTTCTCTGTGGTTTTAAGAAATGGTAAGCCCGCAGGCCCTCCTTTTACTAACCAACACTATTTTAGCTTAGTCAAAACGCGACTTTCACTCTACAAATGCGAGCCGGGTGCCCGCTATCACCAAGGATGCAACGAATGTTGGTGCGTCGAGGGCTTCGGAACCATTTGTACGCTTAGGAACTGTTTCTGAGTTCTCCTCATGAGGCAAACGTTGGGCGCTGTACTTAAAACCATAGTATTCTTTTTGTAAAATAAATATGTGTGTCTCAGATAGCATTTTAGTTTTGAACCGAATAGATGGACCAATTCCTCGCCCTGCAATGAGCGCTATTATTGTCCAATGACGATGATGATCTTTGTGTGAGCGCACTACGTACCAACGCCAGTTAGAACTATGGTCATATGTACCCCCCTTGCACCATCTTGAAATTATTCTTTGATTAACGTCTTTAATATTTTTTCCACCAGTGCGCGAGGTCTACGTAAGGAAATTTCAAAAAAAGCTCGCTATTTTTTCTAAAAGGCCCCCTTGTTAAGTTTCTTTGAACTCAGACTTTCCATTAAGTGGGCCAACTAAGCATGCCCTAAAGTAACGGCACCACTCTTACACCTACCCTTTGGCGCGATACCTCCATCGCTTGGGCTACTTTGTATGCCATTTTACGTTTCCCGGTCACCAAACCTGCATATCCAAGTCTTGGTGAGTGTAAAGCCGCATGTGGCGGGGTATAAACACCTATTTTTCGTTGACATTTTCGATCTACTTACGAGCTAACGCATAAATGGCGGTACTCGGCACCGATTGGGCTACGGAATCGCGGATTTTAAATTATAGTAGAAGCAATTACAACCATCCTTTCAAGCAGGTAACTTTAATATAATTTACTAGCAGCTTGCGTAATTGGTAAACTTAATTCCAATTACAAATAATTGACGGACGAAGGCATAGTTTCTCATGACAACGTTAAATGTAATTAGGTCCATCTCCGGACCACACCTCCAAGGAGACATTTGCGCCCTTATTTCGAGGCAATTAGTCTACTAAGTTTTGGGTCATAAACAAATTCGACATTTTGCGACGTATTCAATTCAATTATTCAATATAAGTTTTGCAGCATTCCTATGATGGATTCGAACTGAATATAGTTAAACAGTAAATTACGTTTGACACTTCTGTTCTACGATTCAATTTCATCGATGTTACACACCTTTTTTTTAATACTTTCCTAAGTTGCACATTTCTAATTTTTTCCACTCCAAAGGGTACGCTTAACTACCCACCCGAGCGCTTTCTTTACAAGTTAAAAGGATAGCAATTCCTTTCAACACCATATCAAGCGATTAGAAACGCTCGAACGTAAGTTTCTATTAAAGTTTTTGTTGCACAACCAAATTTTGTGTACTTAGTGAACAGTATGCGTTAAAACAATTTATGGCTGCGAAACCGTTAACACCGACATTGTTATTAGAAAAACTGGATTACAAAGGAAAAAAATAATCGGCATTGTAGAACGTAAGCAATAATTGTTGTCACAATCACACTCGAGGAAAATTTAATAAACGGTCTCAAATTATTACAAATAACACTTTAGATCTGAAAAAATTTAACTCAATTTTTAGGGGATTAACTCGTAGTCTAAAAAATTATCAATATCAAAGCAGATTTCTGCGGAAAACAACGGAGCTAAAACTGTTAAATGACTATTTAAACAAATATAGGAATTCGATTGTATCGAAAACCAATATGTGATGTAATCAAACGTTATAATATCAAGAAGTCGTCGCCTTTAAAATCTGGCCGTAACGGCCATCTGAATTCAGATGGGCGCTTTTCTGCCTTATCTGTAACAGATAAAAACTCAAACAAAAAACAAGGGGGAATATTGCAATAGAAATGTATAACGTTTGACACGCGAGAACCGTAATTACCACTCAATCACTAATTCAATTTACGTTAACTAAACGTAAGTAAAACTTTGATCGACAACTAATCGTCCGTACAAATCGCTGATATATAGAAGCATAAACGTGACGTTAACTGCAAGGGAACTAGTTTACGAGACACTAATAACTAAATCTCGAAACAACAATAAGCTAATTAATTTAAAATGCAAATGAATTAATTCAAACAAATTCTTCGTAATGACACAAGCAACGTTAATAAAACAATCGTAGATATTGGTTTCGGAATAGGTCTTGGTAACTACTTAAACTAATTCAGAATGCACGGGTAACTAAATATCTACGTATAATAAACTAATTGGAAGGATAGAATGTAGACAAAATCGGAATGCGAAAGATGAATTTTTGTAACAATAAAGCAATATACATGTAGAACTAAGTCAAGTCGGTTTATTAATAAAAAACTATTTATAATAGTTTTTTACACAAGCCACAATATCAATAAGAATGCAAAAAATTATTAGTTGACGGTAATACCTAACAGCTCGCCTTCGGTGTAAAAGACACCTGACGTAAGAAAATCCTTGGCCCTCTTCTTGAATTATGTGAATGCGTCGCAGTCGATTTTACAGATGCAGGAAGAGCGTTATAGTAGCTAGTCGATTCTGGTGACAGCTTGTAGAACGAGTGAGTTGGCTTAGAGGTGTCAAAGTCATTCACAAGCGCAATAATCCTTTTCTATTACAATTTCCATTTTTTACGATGATCATGTATACTAATGGACCCCATAACGATGTCTCCACCTAGGTTTGACATTGTCTCATACATGGTGAGGTGATGGGGGATTTAATTATTACACCCCACTTGTCTTCAATATATTTGGGACTTCAAGATTCTATCTAATAGATTAGTGAGCATTTATCTTTTGTTATTAGACCTTTCTATGCTGTTAGATAATTTTATTGAATGGTAAGCAGATGATCAGATTTGAAAATGATTAATACAGATAGCATCTGTCGCGGCACTTAAATTCGAATCAAAAATGAATTAGACAATTCCACATGATGTTCAGTGATTCAATCATTCAAAAAAATGCTGTTGCTACTCGCACTACTCGCGCAAGTGAACGCGTTTGTATGGGAAACTGCCTTTAAAATCACCACTAACTAGACTTTTTTAAGCAAAATGCGTACGATGTTATTTCAGAACGTATGGAAGTCGAATATTACGATCCTACCATTTTGAACGCTTCCTGCTCTAACTACAAGTATAACCGAACAACCCGTACGTTTATTTTGACATTGACGTTGAAAATTGATGCAACTGAAGGAGATCTCGTAAGAACTTACTACCAATTACCATACGTGCTGTACTAAGTAATTTTTAGATTATGGTAACGGGTTACAAATGGCTGAGTAATCGTTATCGCCTGGACATCCTCCAATTCAACTTGACAATCAAAGATGCAATTCGCTGCAAGTACTTTGATATAGATCGCGTGTTGGGTTCCTGTACGACACCTCGCATGGAATGGCCACTCGTTAAAGCGGTAAGATTCATTTAGACACGCCCACAATTCCTGTAACCATCGATTTAGGTGAAATATACATTAAAGGATTGGGTGCCGGACAGTACAAAGTTTCCTCCGGGCATGCCAGAAGGAAGGTGGAAAATAGGGATGCGATTTTTTACGGGCAACGAGAAACACGTCATGTCTCAAAACTGGTATTGTGCCATCAAATACAAGCTTAAAATGGAATAGAAGTAATGCGATAACCACATAATACCTATGCCTATTTACACTTTAAATACTAGTAGGACAGCAAGTTGTGGTGTTTTAATGTTAGTAATAGTAAGACACAAAGTTTGTAACTACACCTGTGCACACGCCACCCACATAACACCCTTACGCCTCCGTACGAGGTCATATAGTTTGATATTCGCGTGTGTAAATAAATAAAGTTGGTTTTACCACCAGTGTGATATATGTACCATACATAACCCAACAACAGTGGCGCACAACTGGGGACTGTGTTTTTCAAGACGCCGCCCCATAACAAGAACCAAATCAATAATGCCCGAAGAAAACCCACGAAGTTCATTCACAATGGAAATGCTCCTTCGAACTCTCACGGAGCAGAAGACCACCACCACCGGAAGCATTCATCGATCCGATCACCACGTAACAAGCAATGTACGGATACAAACGAAAATCTATCGTAATTATAACCACGCAATTTGCCGCGCCGTGATTATCGATTGTCGGCCTTCGTCTTTTTCTTTGGTTTGTGAGAGCAGCAACAGATTGTATTTCGCTTGAAAAACAGCTGAGACATTGGTGAAAACGCATGGAATTATAATTGCCACCATCCATTTTCTATTAATCTTTGGCAATTGAATTCATTTAATTGGAAGATTCCGCCGAATTGAACCGGGCAGGGACAAGTCGCCGTCGCCGACTGGCCGTTGGCAACTCGCCGTCGGGCAATCTCGCTATCGTTCAACTTGCCGTCGGTTAACTCGCCGTCACCAGAAACAAAATAAAGATTATTTTTTTTTAATATTTAAATCTAACACTTAGATGTCTATAACTGCAATCAGTTTAGTCATATAATATTATTTAGCAATCTCGTTTCATCATTGGAATGCTGTAGTTATTTGCAGTGTTGTGTAAGATCCTTTAATTCTGGATCTAGATAGAGATCCAGATACATGTAAAAATCATGATTCGATCAAGATCCAAGAGCACCTCAAAACGATCTAAGCCAATCCGGCTCCGTTAACTTAGCACCACCATTTCAAATTTTTGACTAAAGACAGATTGCGCTAGAATCTCCATGGCTAGCGCCAGCTAGCGCCAGCTAGCGCCACTTTGAGTTCAGCTAGCGCCATTATAGATTTTGCAGAAAAGCCCTTGATTTTCGGGGGGTGCTATGTTAACGCTAGCACCACCATTGCGTCCGATCATTTCCAAAAGCAAGCGCTGTGTTCGTCAGACCTAGCGCCAGCTAGCGCCACAAATTTTAGAGCTAGCACCACCCCCCAATAGTGAGGGGAGCAATTTTTCCTAGCACCACCATTTTGTCTTTTCATGTAAAATTTTGACGTTTTGTGTTCTGCTGACCTAGCGCCAGCTAGCGTCACTTTGAGTTCAGCTAGCGCCATTATAGATTTTACAAAAAAGCCTTTGACTTTCGGGGGGTGCTATATTAACGCTAGCACCACCATTGCGTCCGATCATTTCCAAAAGCAAGCGCTGTATTCGTCAGAGCTAGCGCCAGCTAGCGCCACAAATTTTAGAGCTAGCGCCACCCCCCAATAGTGCGGGGGGCATTTTTTCCTAGCACCACCATTTTGTTTTTTTCGGGTAAAATTTTGACGTTTTGTGTTCTGCTGACCTAGCGCCAGCTAGCGCCACAAATTTTAGAGCTGCCATCACCCACCAATAGTGTGGGGGGAGGGGGCACCACCATTTTGTCTTTTTGTGTAAAAATTTGATGTTTTCTGTTCTGTAGACCTAACGATCAAGTTAACCTAGCGCAATTATAAATCCTAGCGAGTTTATAATTTTGCGGTGTCTGTCCGTCTGTCTGTTAGCACGATATCTTGATAACGATAACGAATTGACCGTTTACGATGAAATTCTGTAGATGGATTCTTTATCAAATTTGTAGATCGGAGTTCGTGAATTGGCAATGTAGACCAAAAAATAAAGTAGGCACTTTTGACATCTCTGTGAGTTATGAACCGAATTGTATGAAATTCAATATGTGTATAGCTTTAGCCATATAAAACGCAATTCCAAAAGTTGACCTTAATCGATCAACATTCACAGTGCTCTTTTCGCATCTCGACCATTTACAAACCCGATTGAAAACTTACTTATTTATGGAAGCATTTAAAAGAAATTTGATACATAGCCACTTGGAATAAAAGCAAATTTAACGCCAGTTTCAAAATTTGGTTTTGTGCATGATGTGTGGTGCCATTTTTCTTATTTATGGAAGCAATTAAATGAAATTTCATACATATACACTTTAAATAAAAGCAAAACTAACACCAAGTTCAAAATTTGGTTTTGCACATGCTATAGCCTTACCCAGGAGCTCGTTTTCTATATTTATTTACACGTCGATGCGAAAAGGGCACTGTGAATGTTGATAGATTAGGCTCAATTTTTGGAATTGCGTGTTATATAGCTTAAGCTATACGAATATTGAATTTTATGCAATTCGGTTCAAAACTCACGCAGATGTCAAAAGGGCCTTACTTATTTTTTTGGGATACATTACCAATTCACGAACTTCGATCTACAAATTTGATAAAGAATCCAACTACAACATTTCATCGTAATCGGTCCATTCGTTATCGAACT